TTTAAAACCAAAAAATTTTTTTTGTTTTTTTTTTTCCAAAATTTAAAAAATAAAAAAAAAAAAAAAAAAAAAAAAAAAAAAAAAAAAAAAAAAAAACTGAACTCTGTTGTCTGTTTCCAGTGTGTCAGTGAGTTTTGAAAAAACACAGATCTTCCATCTGTTGCACAAGGTCTGGAGCCTATCCCAGACTTGGGTTGGACCAATGGCAGGTTACAAGGTTACCAGTCCATTATGGTGCAAACACAAAAACACACTCAATCACACACAACCACACTTACAGTCAAATTAGAGACACAAGTACCTCTACCATTCACTTTTTTTTTTTTTGCTCTGGAGGAGCAAAACAGGGCACTCAAGGACTGCCCTATCCAAGCACTTTAAGGATAAGCAAACTTTATACAAAAAAAAAAAAAAAAAAAAAAGGAAGGGTTAAGCCAAAACCTTTTCTGGTAAAAAAAAAAAAAAAAAAATTACCCGTCTTCACTTATTGCACTCAAGAGATTTCAGTTCTTCAAAATTCCCTGAGGAGAAAATTGAGTCCCAGCGGAGATAATAAACCAGCAACACACAAAGAATATACTAAACAATAATGTTTCTAAGCTTTCTTGTTGAGGCAGCCTGAACATCATGTGGACTCAGTTGCACAGGATATTTAGCAAAGAAGATCTGCTATGGCCAGAGCAAAAATAAAATATAATGCATAAAATAAAACAGCCTAAAGAGAAATAAAATGCATCAAGATTTAAAGTGTCTGTTGCTCTGTGCAATAACAACCATATTCTGAAGACGCTGGAAAGAAGAGATGATCAATAAAAACTCAAAAGAACAATCTCAAACAAACAACAATATAACAAAGAACATGAAATGACTAAGAACACTTAACAACTTAAAAGTGGGATGGAAAGGAAAAAAAAAAAAATCAATAGAACAAATTGTTGACATACTCACCGTACACCAACAGGGTGTAATGATCAGCTGCACGACCGAAGTTGTTCTGGGCTTGGCACAAATATGTCCCGTTGTGTGATTGGCTGAGACGGGAAATCTGAAGAGTAGGCCCAGAAATCTCTGCTCTCTCAGGCAAAGTGTCATTTATCTTGGACCACAGGATGTCTCTTGGCCTAGGAAGAAAGATTGAGTGAGAATATTTAAAATGATGCCGAATTCAGTGGATGCGCTCATTATGATATGGGAAAATCACTCAGCTAACTTTGATATCTACCAGAAGTGATAAGGAGTGGTGTCAATGATTTTTGTAATATGTTGAACTTGATCTTTAGGTAAAAATCACAAATTTTGCATTTACAAAAAACAGTTAAACCTTACTATTTAGATTAAAATTACCAGCATTGGGCTGGAAATACAACTTAGTTACGAATGTATTTTCTTAATTTCAATCCCCTTTCAGGCTTGACAAATTAGCTCATCATCTAATTAGAAGATCTAGTGGAGGGTAGAGAGGTTTTAGATCACATTTTTACATGCTTTAGATGCTGGAGTAAGTCTTAAATGTTGCAACAGGAAAAATCCTTCCACTTCATCCACACATGCATGCTTTTCAGTTTAACTGTAAACTGAAACCAACAAGACTGACTGTGAGATCAGGAATTGAAAACTTTTTTTAGTTCAGTTCATATCTCCAACATGAAGGTGATGGAATGGTATCTTTAATTCCCTTTTTCTATTTTGTAATGTCACATTGACAAAACTAATGATATAATGACCAAAGGGCAGTGCATACTGCACAAGAGCATAGAAATTAGTTATTTTACTTGCGGCTGCAATAGAAAGAACAAAGTTCTTGCTGGCAAGGACATTTCATACTTCACAGGAACTAAAGCGCAGACCTCGCTGGCAGTATTCATAGGTTTCTCCCACTGCAGAATATTCATTTCACATTTCTGGGATACCACAAAAGAAAGAAAAAAAAAAAGTTCTGCTCAGAATATGCATCAAGAACAAGAGCTGGAAGAGCTCCCAAACTGTGAACAAAAAGACAAACATGTCCTTTTGTTCTTGTGGCAACTGGGAACTAATTTCTGTTCCTGCAGAGTTCAGTCATATTCAGTAAATCAGAATGCATTCTGATGAGGGTCACTTGTCAGAATAAAAGAATGTTACTTTTGAAAGTAACATTAAAGCACATATTAAACATTTTTGCATTAAAATTCTTAGTCGGCTTAGTCTAATCTTAAATGTTATGTTTTCATTTGCTGAAAGTAGAATATTATACTTCCAGTTTAAAAAATAAAATAAAGGATTGAAACATGTTTCTGAAATAAATTAACTTTTCAATAATAAGTAAAGTTATTGTCAACTTTACTATATTGATTTACTACCTGAATGCTAATGCATGCACCTCGCACGCTAGCGCAAGTGTTAACGTGTTTTGTTGTCTGAAAGGCCATAAATTCCCACTAACTCCTTACATGCCATCTCTAATGTCCATATCTGGATCTTTAAATTGAGCATATTAACACAGAGATTAGCTTGTTTTTGCTAATAAACAGTTAGTTTGAAAATGCCAAAGCACAATAATTCTCCAGACACCTTACTGTAGCTGCTGAAGTATGGCATAAATGGCTCACCAGAGAATTTCAGGGTATATATATATAGGGTTAGAAAAATGGGTACAGTAAACAAACAAACAAAAACATTTAAGTCACAGTTCAACCAAGCCATTGTTCCTGAATTATTTGCACAAATGCTTCAACTCTAAAACACTTATCTGGTATGAAATATTTAACAGCATCTGCCTGATAATGTTCATCATTTTAAATAAATGAAGGTTATGATATAGTTACATCTTGCGTCCATTCATTAAATATGTTAGTGCATTTGTTTCACATTGTTTTATGTTGACGTGTTAAAAAGAGATTTGATTCCTTTTGTAATAGTATTCAAGCCAAGCACAGAAAAATTATTGAATCAATAAAAGATTTGGACTGAGGAGTATTTGCATACAAAATGCAAAGCTAGTTTATGACACAAACCAATATATTTTGCATAAATTGTAAATTAGTAAATTGTTGAATATTTTAAACACAGCAATAATTTAAACAAAGCTCAGCAGAGTTTAAGTGTTGGTATTGCGGAGAAAAAAAATAGAAAGTCAAGTTAAAAGAATGGACTGCAGCACAAACAGGCAGGGGTGCTATAAAAAGAAAGGTGGCAAAGAAGGGTAAAGTGGCCCAGAGGGCGAGGGTGAGCGAGATGAGAAGACAGAGTAGAGGGGGTTTTGAAGAAGAAGCCAATGGTAACAGGGGGCCGGATCCTGAAAAATAATGAGGAGGTAGATGGTCAGAGAGCAGCAACGGTGTGAAACGGGTAGCAGGAGGGAGAGAGTGGCAGATGAGAGAGGAAAAGGGTGTCAGGTGTGCAAGATGGAAAAAAAGACAAAAGCAGGAGGAAAGACTGTAATATTACTGAGGGAAAAAGAGAGGGGAGATGATATGGAGGAAAATGAAGGACAGGAACAGGCAGACAAAATGATTTGGTCATGAAAGACAGGCAGGCAGAGCAGACAGGAGGTGTGAGGATTACAGAGACATCCGGGTGAAGAAATCCCTGTGAGTACAGCGTGTGTTTCTGGCTGGGTGTCATGGCTCACGCCACTTTGGGCAGATTACAATCCTGACTCATCTGGGTTCTAATCCTTCAGGAAGTCTAATTAAACCTCCTTCTTGCTCAGTCCCTCACATGCAAGCCCTCTCTCGAACTAAATATGCAATACAGAATCTTATTCTCAGCTTCAAACTCATAAGTACACACTTATACCCCTGGCCTCTGTAATCCCTTTTAAAGCTAATTCACAAATAAGGAGGTAAGTGAGAAAAGTGACACGGGGGCATCCCCGTCTTAATGCCAGACACACTAACTGTAACCTTTCACCAAAATGTAGTGGCATTTAATTGGTCCTTATTGCCTAACAAGTGGTTAACAAACTTGGTGAAGAAAACATGTGGGTGGCCTTGGTGCGGTGTTTATGTGTAAAGCATGAGATCGAGGTCAGAGTGCAGAGGCGCCTGAAGTCCCACCCAGTGATCTCCAAAACACACGCTAACACACATCTATACATACACACAGTGCTCCCAATCAGCCTCTACAAAGCTTCAGAGAGGCTAGGGCCAACACGGTTTTCAGCCAGTCCTCTCAGTTGGATTTCACTAAAGACATCACACAAAAACATGAACACACACACACACGTTCACTCTTTGGCTGCATGGAGCTTTACTGGGGGAGCTTTAGTGGACCTGATGCCCACAGACAGACGGACCATCTAGGAGCAGGCTTAACGGCTTAGGGCCCAATATCATTCTGTAGAGTGCACAGAGTCCATGGACCCTCTAGGGGAGAAAAAAAAAAAATAAAGGTTTGTTTCAAAGTTGGCTTTGAAACGTGTTAACGACTGATCAGATTTTGTGCATGTTTTACACATCCAAGTCACGCACACTCACTAATAAGTTCTTAATTATAGTAAGAGTTTGGAGCAACCTCTTAAATTCCCATTGTCCTTCACGCTGCAAAATTGAACTCAAACCAAAGAAGCTCCTTCTGAATACAAAGAGGATAATTTGGTGACAGCGTTAGTTTTCTTTGCTGTTTACCAAGGCACTTTATCATATTGATCATGCTAATAAATGACAGTTTGAACAGTTTTAGCTTTGCTTTGGGAAGTTTAATCAAACCTCACTGTAACAGTCCTTTTCTACTTAGTTCTGTGAAAGAAGTAACCTCAGAAGTATTCAGTTTTCATTTCAAACGTCTGCTTAAATAAAGAGCAAAGAAGTCCTGCATTAATAATTAACCACTAATTTGAGATCGGAGACAATTATTCAATTATCACAGGAATTGGGTAGAATAATTTTTATCCTGGTGTAATATTTTATAAGCAGCACAGAATCTATTAAAGTTACTCAGAGGGACGTAAGAAGGACAGCTTCTACCTTTAAAACCTGTACCAATGGGTGATTGAGCACATATGTGGCTGCTGTAACTCAAGTGAAAGGAATCATTATTATGAAATCAGAAAGTTGTGGGCTCAATTCCAGCTTCCCCTGCCTCATGACGGCGTGCCGCCGAGCAAAGCACTTAGCCCCAAAGTTGGCTACTATTCTACATAACGTGGATATGATTAGAGCAGCTTAGGGAGTGACAATCATTGCATAGAAGCACTTTGAGTGTTTGGTTTTACTAGAAAATGATACATAATTCAGTCACAGCCTATGTACAATTTTGGTGAATACCAAGCAGACATTTAGCATAACATACAAAAACTGCTAATATTTATTTTGAAAATATAGACAGAGGATTTTGAAAACTTTTTACACAAATCTAGAAAAAAAAAAAAAAACAACAACCCAAGAGTAACTAATTAAGGTAAAAGATGGGATAACATTTAAGGAAACCCAGCGAGAAGCAAACCGCATGGCATTGAGAGCAAAGGATGATCTGAAGAGAAGTGAATAAAACTGGAGGGCAAATATACTGGAGAGGTGATTACTGGTTAAAAAAAAAAAAAACAACAAACGAAAAATAACAAAAATAGGCCAGTGATTACTGATGTGTAGCAGCTGTGAGGGAGGAGGAAGCTTGAGGCAACTGAGGGAAACAAATGAGAGGGAATAGCAAGTTCATAGATCTGTAAAAATTATAGTAATAGCTAAACAAACAAAAGAAGCATAAAAAAAACCCAAAACAAAGACGAAAGCACAAAAGGGAATCAAAAAAACAAAGCACAACAAAACACAATAATCTATAAAAAAAATTACAAAATAGCACAATATAAATCCTTAAGTATATGATGCTTTTGTGATCAAAATATCAGACAGAAAGAAAATAAAGCTGTATAAAGAAAACCTTACAGCTTAAAGTGAACAGATTTAGTCAATTTTTACTTCCACTGCATGCATTTCAGATTCTTTCTTCACCCAAAAATAGTTTAAATAGTCCTTTTTCAGTGTGTGTTTCACATAGGAAGATCAGTGGTAGGACACAACCTCCCAACTCCATTTCCCCTGGGAAAAAATAATTAGCTTCAGTATGAAAAACTGTCTAATGCAAGTTTAAGTAACACAGAGCTCCAGTGACATTATTGAGGTCTAAACTTTTTTTTTTTTTGGAATTGCACTTCAAAAATATTGAACTATCTCTCTATTAAAAGAGAAATCCATTGTTAAGTCTTCATAGTTAAGACATTTTCATGTGTGCTGTTAAGAGAAAAAAAAACATATGGAAGTAAACTATCTCTGTTTATATATATATATATATATATATATATATATATATATATATATATATATATATAAAAACATTGCAAACAAGCAATGTTAAGAAATACTCAAGAAGAAAAGCATCTGTACTTAAACCCATCAGGGTCTCAGTATGAAACACCCAGTTTACACAAGATTTGCTTTCTGCTGAATAGCTAAAGTGTATCAGTTATCACAAACTTTAACCCGTGTCTCTCTTTATATTTCACCTGCCTTGTTTTATTGCATCTCGTTTCTCAGCTTTTAGATGCAGACAAATAGTGGTGATGAATGTGAAACACTAAACATTATGTATCTGTAAAATTGTTACGTCTGCCTGAGTTATGGTGTTTCAAGTGGACTTGTGTATATAATATATATAGCATCACAGCGATATAAATAAGAAATATTAAATAAAATGATACATTTGTTATGCTTGACTGCCTGGTATGTGTGTATTTCCTTGGGTGGAAGTGTGAAGCTTTTAAGCTCTCTGCCTGAGCCAGACTGTGTGTGGAAATGTCACAAAAAGCCTAAATAACAGAAAATTGTCCAACTCAGGGTACAAAGTGTATTAACAGCCATTAAGAAGTCCCACAACGCTAGAAATCTGTGAGGTAAGTGTTTAGGGGCAATAATTTTGATGTGCAGGGTTTACTAACCGTGTGCTTGAAAATTCAGTTTTTACTTTCATTATTAAGAATTTTGTAAAGCAGTGTTCTGTGAAAAATGATGTGCAGTCAATATGTTGTGGTTTATGGCTTTTGGACAACTGATCCAAACTATCCCTTTAAGAAAACTGGCACAAGCGGCTTTGAATGTCCACGGATGGACAGACAGACAGACAGACAGACAGACAACTAAAGGAGGTAAGAGAGGTAAACTTCTCAGCAATATTAAAGCTGTTTACCCCTGTGGGTTTCTCTGCAGCTATCTGCTGAATTGTGGTAGATTAGAATTAAAATATCATATCTTAGCAGGTAAAACTTCACTGCGCAAAGGGGTTTTTATCCGGCTTTTTGCATGCTGTTAATTTTTTATGTGCTGATACTGTCCCTTCCAACCTTCCCTGTGTTCTCCTCAAAGCGTCTTTCGTAAACATGTTCCGATAAATCTTTTTGCGTAGGTTGCCCTTTGTAACAGTTACCATTTCATGTGACTTAGGAGGTGAAGTGAAGGATATCTGTGTTTACTCTTAGAAATTTAAAGAATTTTCTGAAGTAACTGTTGCAAACTTTGTCGTGTTACGTCAAGTGTAAATCAAAGCAAATATCCTCAGCAACATTCTTCTAGAAAACGACTTTCAAAGCAAACAGAGACACTTACAAAGGATTCCCAGTGATAGAGCAGGTGAGGCTGAGCGAGTCGCCCTCACGCAAAATCCCTGTGGGAGAAACAATCCGTACTGTGGGAGCAACTGTGGAGAAACATAAAAAGTGAGAGTATGTCACCATGGAGGCGCGATAGCAAAATCTATACAAAACAGACCGTAATACAGCAACAGTACAGGTGGAACAAAAAGGAATAACAAAAGACAAAGGAAAATAGGGAGAGACGAGAACAAAAATGAGGACCAAGGGAAAAGTGATAAAGTGGCAGGAAGAAGAATCTTTAACATCTGTTTCCCAGGCAACGAGCCCACAATCCTACGGTTTGTGACACCTGTTATCATAAGCAGTCTACCACTCCACCAGCTGCTGTACTGCGTTTACTTCAATAACACAGCAACAGGAAGCCAAATCCACACAGACGAAATGGCCATTATTACCAGTTCTGCGACTGGAGAAGCCACCAGCATGCAGAATGTGGAGCCTGATAAATATTAATCATTCAGATCCATCAACAAACAGCTATATACATGTGGCAAATTAACTGTTCTCAAAGGCTGATGCAGAATTACTTGCCGAGTGTGAATCATATTGCCAAAAGTAAATATTTATGCATGCCTGTGGAATGTTTGACTTTGCAAAATTATGGACATATTGCTGGATAAGAGTCCCACTGAACTGCCAGGCATGCTGATATGAGGAGAAAACAAACGATGCAACAGAATATTGCTCTGGTAGCATTCGATCAGCAAACTGAGGTGAAATGTGCTAATGTCTATTCTCTTGGTTTAATGTGCACAAAATGTGCAACTACGGGGAAGCTGTTTGGCAAAAAGACAAAAGGAAAATAAGAATGTAAATAAATTGTGATCCAACTGAACTGAAAGTAACATTATTTCTGTAATTTTAAAAAAAAAAAAGATAGTGATATTCTACAAATAGCAGAGAAATGTTCACTACAGAAAAATTAAATATGTGCAGTTTCAGATTTTCCTTTTACAGAAATAGAAAGCCTGTTGCTTTTATCCTGAAGAATCAAACGTTCTGATGACTTATAAGCACATGTTAATTCCTCAGTTGTCCACTTCTACTACAGAGCACATTTTATTGGGGAACTGTGTTCTTAATCGTAATTGTATGTCAAGTAAAAACATTTGAGATGCTTCAAAGTGCATTATAAATTACAAGACAAGATAAGGAGTACGGCTCATTTAGTGACAACATGAGAGATCATGTAAAATTCCAGATCAAACGGAACATAAAGTGCTTTTATACTGCAAACTTGAAAGTGTTCTTATTTGTAATGATGTCAGTATAACAGTGAGAGACTAAGATCTTGGCAGCATGTGATGTTTATTTTGCTATGAAACAACTTCAAGTCATAAATACAGACTTCTGTTAGTAAAAATGTTCAGAAGAAAAAGCCAACATGAAGAGGTTCTTATGAGCAAATTGTAGATCACAAACCATGAGTGTCTTTGGCTAATAAATCAGACACACAAATATGCGCCGCGCCTCACCTCTCTCAACTAAAAACAACAAAACTGTAATTCGTAGTTTTCCCCAAAACACTCCTGAAGTCTCTTCTCATTTTTCTGCTGTAAAACTAATATTTTGTTTGGTTTCGTCTCATGTGCCAGACATACAAGCCAACTGAGAAATTATGTCTCTACAATAACTGGATTCCAAAAAAGTTGCGACACTAAACAAGTTGTGAATAAAAACTGAATTCAATGATGTGGAGATGCCAACATCTAATATTTTATTCACAATAGAACACAAATCACAGATCAAAAGTTTAAACTGAGAGAACGTATCATTTTAAGGGGAAAATATGTCGTTTCAAAATTTCATGACGTCAACAAATCCCAAAAAAGTTGGGACAAGGTCATTTTTACCAATGTGTGGCATCTCCCCTTCTTCTTACAACAACTCAGACAGACGTCTGGGGACAGAGGAGACCAGTTTCTCAAGTTCAGAAATAGGAATGCTCTCCATTCATGTCTAATACAGGCCTCTAACTGTTCAGTCGTCTTGGGCCTTCTTTGTCACACCTTCTTCTTTATGATGCGCCAAATGTTCTCTATAGGTGAAAGATCTGGCCTGCAGGCTGGCCATTTCAGTACCCGGAACCTTCTCCTACCATAATGTTGTGATTGCTGCAGAATGTGGTCTGGCATTATCTTGTTGAAAAATGCAGGGTCTTCCCTGAAAGAGATGACGTCCAGATGGGAGCATATGTTGTTCTAGAACCTGAACATAGTCCTCTGCATTAATGCTGCCTTTCCAGACATGTAAGCTGCCCAGGCCACCAGCACTCATGCAACCCCATACCGTCAGTGATGCAAGCTTCTGAACGGAGCGTTGATAACAACTTGGGTTATCCTTGTCCTCTCTGGTCCGGATGACATGGCGTCCCAGTCTTCCATAAAGAACTTCAAATCATGACTCGTCTGACCACAGAACAGTCGTCCATTTTGCCTCACTCCATTTTAAATGACTTCTGGACCAGTGCAAACGGCTGAGCTTGTGGAGCTTGCTTAGAAATGGCTTCCTCTTTGCACTGTAGAGTTTCAGCTGGCAGCGGCGGATGGCACGGCAGGTTGTGTTCACTGGCAATGCTTTCTGGAAGTATTCCTGAGCCCATGCTGTCATTTCCTTGACAGTGGCATTCCTGTTTGAGGTGCAGTGACGTTTAAGGGCCCGGAGATCACGAGCATCCAGTAGAGTTTTACGGCCTTGACCCTTACGCACAGCGATTGTTCCAGATTCTCTGAATCTTTTGATGGTGGAATTGGTGATCCTCTCACCATCTTGGCTTCAGAGAGACGCTGACACTCTAAGAAGCTCATTTATACCCAATCATGTTGTCAATTGACCTAATTAGTGTTAATTGGTCTTCCAGCTGTTTGTTGTCAATTTCCTTTTTCCAGCCACTTATTGCTACTTGTCCCAACGTTTTTGGGATTTGTAGACACTGTGAAATTTTGAATCAACATATTTTTCCTTTAAAATGTAACATTTACTCAGATTAAACTTTTGATCTGCCATCTATGTTCTATTACGAATAAAATATTGACATTTGCCATCTCCACATCATTGCATTCAGTTTTTATTCACAATTTGGTTAGTGTCCCAACTTTTTTGGAATCCGGTTTGTATAGTCTCTTGCTTTTCTGGGTAAATTCAAATTTATTGCAAAAAATCTGCTGTTATGATATTAGTGATTAACTGTTAGCTGCTAATAATGCTTAAATTGGCATTTACAGCTTCCTCTTTGTGCTAAACTAAAGAACTATTTCAGTTTTAATGAGTCTAGACTGCATTTAATTACCTCTAGTTAAAAATATAAAATGCATATGGCGATCAAATTGAATGGGGCAATTTTACACAAAAAAGAGATTAAAAACCGCATGGGAGCTGCTATTATATCTATGGAAACACAAAAAAAATATAGATTTTTTAATCCATTCTTGGCATCAGGAGCAACTTAACATTAGTGACGCATAAAAACCTCAATAAATGAACAGTTCAATCCTGGACTGGTTTAACTTACACTGATTACAAATTATTTGAAAGAGTCTAAGATTTGTGAAACCTTAATGCTATTTGTGATGCAGATTCCTGGTTTTGTATCTTATCTTAGCTCCCTAAGAGAATATCAAAACTGGGAATTAAAACTACTCCAAGCATTTTAATGCACTTCCTCCTCTAAGACAGCATTAGATTTTTACTACTTTGTGCAAATAAGCCTGCTGGGATCAATCCACCCCTAAGCAGTCCTAAGATCATTGTACATACTAATCTAGCAGAGTTTTTCATTGCTTCATGTAGATGTTGGTAAGCTCTTAAAACCACAGGCCAGGACCCTGACTTGGCTACGGCTCTATTTCTGCTCAACAGGATCTCTACGCGTTGCACTTTAACGAGGGCAGGACTCACACTGGGCTGCTCTACATACCTCAGAAAATCGGGCCTAAAATGAATCATTCATTGTTTAAAAAAAATGAGTGTAACCATGACAAATTTTTGCAGGGGAAACAATATAATGAATACCATTAAAGTATTAATTTAGGTGACAGCAGCACGGATGGAGTAATGAGCAGTTGTGAAATATTTAGAAGAGAACATTATGCCTTTTCATTTGCTTGACAGGTTGTAAGAAAGCGCCGCAATAAGGCGAGAGGACTTACAATACACGTCCAGCCGATAATGTCGAACCCTCTTTTGGCCACTCAGCGCAGGGTGGATTGCCTCGCAGTTCAGCGCCGCGCCGTTGTCTTTCCTCTCCACTGGGATGCGGATGGTGCTGGATACGCTGAATGTCTTCCCATTGTCCTGCTGCGACACAACACCTATGGAGAGGAAGAGAGAATAGATGGGGGATGAATGGAGAAGTTAGCAGTCAAAACACAAATTTGTTCTTTCTTTTTACCCCCAGCAGCGAAATCACAGTATTGAAAGGAGAAGGCAGCGGGGAGGAGAACACAGAAGAAAGTATGCCAACGAAGAGGTAGAAGTTAGTAACAGATGAATGAGTTTTTTAGAGCTTCAACAGGCATCCACAGAGAGGTGGATGAGTGGAAGGCAGAATGAAAAAGGGGCAAGAGAAGAGAAAGCAATTTGCATCTACATTTCATGGCAATTATGAGCAGCAGCACTGTTTGTATTCAGATAGCAAATCAACTAAATGTTTTGTGTGTCTGCAACCAAAAGAAAGGAAAAGGAAAAAAAGAGGGAGAGGGAGCAAAGGATAAAAGAGGGAATATGCATAAACCAATTGAGATTTTAACTGAAGCAGACACTGGGTGGGGGAGTGGGACATCACAGTAAAAGTGTGAGACACGAAAAGAAAAGGAGGCAATAGAAATATGATTGATGTGGGTGTGTGTGTCTATATGTTTGAAGGAAAGCAGACATGAAAGAGGACGATAAGAGCGGAAGGCGAGATGAGGGGGGAGGGGAGGCAGAAGGAGGGAGGGGAAAAAGCCGGGGCGAGCTAACGGGACTTGACACGGTCACGTACCAGGAGTTTGTGCTTGTTTAGGCAGAATACAATATTACTTTTATCACACTGAGTTTTCAATTATTGCTGGCAAGCAAACGAAAGTTGGCCTAATCGAAGCCTGGGAGATGGCGGCGGCGCGTTCTGATGAACAGAAATGAGGGCGCGGCGGAAAGATAGCGTCTTAATTAAAGAGTGCCTCCTATATCTGCTGGGGATCTGCTTCTAACCTTTAGTGTCACAGTTCGTTTAGCTCAAGGCCGAAGGATGATGAAGGTAGGGAGAGAAAATGGGAACAGAAGAGCGGAGGGAGGAGAAGACCGAAGGATAAAGCCAGAAAATCTGACAAAAGAAGCAGAGTTCCCATCTGTCTTTATGACTTTTGAGGGCCTTTGCAAACTGTTGCGACTTTGTCAGCAACAGAATTCAGCAAAAAAAGGGAAAAGTATCAGATTAAAAGAAAGGTCTATGAAGTAAGTGGGAGGACAGATACGATAGTCAGAATGATAAAACAGGTGTATTCTGACAAGGAAGAAGAAGAATGCAGATGAAAGAGAGAAAGAGTGTCACACCACAAAGGGAAATGAGATCATGGCTGACATGAAGTTCTCAGGGTGACAGACTGCTTATTACATCTCCAGTAGCTGTTTAACGCTGATTATTAAACAGTACTAATGGCATGACAATTACAAACCCGTCGTACCTGAACGGGTTTGTAATTGTAACCAAATTACAAGAACTGAAAAATGTGGCATGTGCATGTATTCAGCCAAAGAGTCAATGCTGTGTGAAGAAACCTTTTAAGGTACGACTCTTTGCACATTTTGAGCAGCTGAAGCTCGTTCTGAATATGAATATGGATTTCCAAGATTTGACAGAAAAATTTAATTCGTCTCAGGTTTGGACGAGAACAACATGCTTTGATAGTAAACATTGTTTACAAAGGGATCTCTTTTGATCCCTCATCATCTCTGAGAAGCTTCCAATGCTGAGTAAATCTTTCTTCACACAGCATGACACTGCCGTCACCATGTTCTACAATGTGGACAGGTTTCTCACTGTGAAAAGGAATCGTTTCAACAAAACGCATTTTTTGCCTGCAAGCCAAAACGTTTCGTGTTTGTATAACCGGAGAACACCATCTGCTTCAACATGTTTGGTTTGTCCCCTGAATAGATTGTGGCAAAGTTTAAACATGACTTCTTCTTGCTTTCTCTCCACAATGGCTTTGTTCTTTTCAATCCTCCATGCAGACCAGACTGGAGTCACACATTCTTTCATCTGAGCTGGGGGTCTCTGCAGCTCCTCCAGAGCAACAATAGACTTTTTAGCTGCTTCTATGATTCATGCTTACCTTGCATGACTTTTCACATTTGGTATACAGTCAGTATTTCTAGTTATGCTGTTGAATTAAAAAGTGCTCTATAAGATGTTCAAAGTGTGGAATATTGTTATATAACCGATCCCTGCTTTCTCCACAAGTGTCTTCCTGACCCGTTTGCTGTGTTCCTTGGTCTTCAAGATGCTGTTTGTTCACTTATGTTCTACACTCACAAAGCTCTGTGGACTTCACAGAACAGCTGAATTTATAATAAGATTAAATATCACACATGGGGAATGATGTAGCCTCTGAGGAATAAAGATAGCACAGGATTAATTAGGGATGTCAGACAAAATGGAGCTGGTTACATATGAATGCCACTTAATTTGTGGATTTATAATTTGCGTTTTCAAACTAATTGTTCATACACATCACAATTCTTCCCTAATTTGCGTTTTTTGCATTACATAAATTCCCAATAAAATACATTAGCTTGTGGTTGCAACTTGAAAAAAATTGAAGTGGTTTGAATACTTTTGTAAGGATCCGCAAGTTAAGGTTTTTGTATTTGTGGACCAATAAGTGCTGCAAACCACTACAAGCTTTATCAGGATACACAAATAAACCTCTATTCCACCATTTTTTGCACTCTTCCCTGCTTTTTTGAGTTAGGGTAGGTTTGATTTACCATCCAGAAATGCACACTGTTACAGTCAGTAGTGTTAAAGTTGCTAAGGGGCCTAAACTCTTATAAAAAACCCATTTCAGACAGCTTAAAAAGTCAGTTTCACAATCATTTTGTCTTTGTTTTATTGAAACAGTAAATTACTGTTTCAGTGCAGAACTGCTTACACTTCACTTCATGCACATTAGAGTGTGTGTAATTATACACGTCAGAAGCCTCTGCTCCTAATTTAAATAATTAATGACCGTTCATGACAGGACGCCTCATTAAAACACACAGTATAGTTATAATAAAATTAATAAAAGATTTAACAGTCTAACACATCCAACAGTAAATCACAGCTTTTTTTTTCTCACCGATATTTTGGGAAAAAAAAAGAAAAAAAAGAAAAGGATTTCCTGTGATACAGTGATATTCTGTTTTTTTGTTGTTTTTTTTTTAAATGAAAATCGTCAGGAAGTACCATGTGCCTCATAAAGAAGATATGTACTTTTTCAGCTTGGTTTTATTTGTACAATAGGGTTGATAACAGTGTAAAGAAAAACATAGAGCTTGATCATTATCCAGGTGTGGATAAGTATACACAAAGATACCAGAACAAGGAAAGTTATTTGATTTGTAAACATTAGTTAGTAAAAAGAGACTGAAAGAGTTTCAGTATGGAAAAAAAAGAATATCATTTAGACATGAAACACTGGTATGTAGTGAGTAACTGTGAGCAGCAAGACTTTTAATTCCAAAACAAAACAGATTTTAAAATATATTTATGTTAATTAGGTAGCATTATTTAAATGGGTTCTAAGAGAGAAATCTGAACAAACCCATTCAGTACCAAAGGTTCCCAAAAACCAGTATGTATTTTGCTTAAAAAGTATAATTGGCGAATCTCTCCTGTGCTGTCAGCCTTCATGAGAGCTATAGTAGCATGGTCACAAGCAGGTTAGTGATTAAACCAAGAATTTAAGGAATTTTACATTACGTCTAGCAACACATAAGCCGAGTTAACAACAGAGACTCTTTCTCCTGGCTGAATAGGCTCAAGGTTTAAGAAAGATAGATCTCAGATATGTTATTGCGTCGAGCACCCCTTTAATAGAAAGAAATAGAAAGAACGAGAGAAACTGACTTAGATCAAGGTAACAGTCTAATAAAATGCTCTTGGATTTATCAGAAGCAAAGGACGAAAGGTTAGAGGGTTATAAATGAAGCCGTCTGCCTTTCAGAGTCTGAGGCAGAGAGAGGGAGAGAGGGAGCTGGAAATCTAAAATAAGAGTGATCTGAGCCTTTGTGTATTAGTAAGCTTGTCAGATTATGAGCAAATGAGATCAACTTTTTATGTATTATTCCAGTCTGTTTATGTTTATGCATTCAGTAGTCACTTTTATCCAAAGCAACTTACACAGGAAGGCATGACAATGCAGTTATTAGCAAAGTATCAATAAGCTAATAATTAGAATGAAGACCTTTCTGTCAGGTTCTGTCAGAGGTGACAGTGTAGAAACAGAGTCAAGGCAAAGTGGGAAATGCACAAAGAGAAATAGCAGTAGGAGGGTTAAGGACGGATAGGGTAAGTTGGAAGATGCTGTCTAAAGAGTTGGGTCTTCAAGAGTTTCTTGTTGATAGACAGGGATGTCCTTGATCTGACAGGAATCGGAAGGTCAACCCACCATTTTGGAAAGAGTCTAGATTTCTTTAGTATGATGTGGGAACTGACGGTCCTTTCTGGAGTGACCAAGTTGTGACGCATTTCTTTGCAAAAGCTTTGAAGTAGATGAGAGCCGATCAGTTAAGGAGTTTGTAGGTTAACAGCAGACATTTGAATTGTTGACTGTAGCCTAAAGGTAGCGAGTGGTGGCCAACAAAGGGATGATGATCTGTGTTCGGGAAGGCTGTTTGAAGACCAGACACTTTTTTTTAACCTTCATTTTACCAGGTAAGTTGATTGTGAGCAAATACTTATTTTCCTCAGTGACCTTTCTGGAAAACCTGCACAAGTGTCACAGCCCAGGCTGAAAACTTTAGCTTTTTATGCCAATTTCAAGTAAATTTGCAAACTGAATATGGGCCAGGAGTGTTTGGGATCTTTGGATATTTATAGTCAAGAGCGGAGAGCAGGGAAGAGTTATAGCTGCTGAATGTTCAGAGCTCTTTTTCAACACTCAACTAACTCAAAAATTGTCTGGTGGTCAAGTGTTGGTTGTTTTTTTGTTTTTTTTCCCCACCAACTGTAAAAGCTTTCGAGTTGATTTCAAGTAGGATTGGTATTGTGAAGCTTTTTCTGAGTTTCTGGCAAAAAAGGCTCTTTGTGTAAATGAAAAAGTCTATGTAGAAATTGCAAAAAACACAAGTCGTCCATCAGAAAAACAGCAAAAATTCAAGTGAGGACGAGTGAGCACAATTTTTGGAACATAAAATAAAAACGCATCAAAAATTCGCCTGGCGCACTGGTAAAGTACATCGGTAACACTTTATTTGAAGGGGGTTGAATAAGACTGTCATGAATATTTATGACTGTTGTCATAAAGCGTCATTCGGTAAATTATGACAAAGTTGACATTATTCAAAATGTCTTTGTTATGACAACTTGACATTAACCAAGAAATCATTAGTTTAAACTTTACCTTTAATAACATAAAGTTACCTAATTTTTAAAGTGCAATCAGTAATACTTTTATAACAAATTTATATCAGTAATGATTTCTTGGTTAATGTCAAGTTGTCATAAAGACATTTTGAATAATGTCAACTTTGTATTAAAAGTGTCGTAATTTACCGAATGACGCTTTATGACAACAGTCATAAATATTCATGAAGGCTTATTCATGTTCATGACAGGTGTTATGTCATGTTTATGACAGTGTCATGTCAGTCTTATTCAACCCCCTTCAAACAAAGTGTTACCAGTACATCCAGTGCATCTTTCCAATATTGAAGGCTAAAACAGCTCTCGTGCATAAAGAAAAATCCCTTTCCATGTCTACCTTCCAGGGAATGGTTTAAATGTTTGCTCACAAAAAAAATGGAAAGGTGGGCCATGGATATTAATTGTGCTTCTTTACTCCGACACTGATGGAAAACTATGCCTGTGCATTTCTGCTGCTGAAGTCATTTTCAAAAGAGTTGCAGCTGTAATCTAATCACAATTTGGTGCTACAAAGTCTTGACTCAGGAGTCCTAAATAGATATACATGCCAGACTTTTTTAGATTTCTATTTGTTAAAATCCGCTAACAATTATGGCTCATTTTTCTTCCACACTACCTTGTGGGCCTTAGAGGTTATGACGTGACAAAACGTTAGGAACGTTCAAATGGGTAGGAATACTTTTGCGAGGCAATGTCATCTGCACAGAGAGAATAGGCTCATTACCATAATAGTTTTTATTCTGGCCAGAGAAAATTAAGATCAACTGTAACCAAAATAATAGGCAGGAAACAAACAGGGTAGGCTTGAAATATTTATGAACAAAAGCATCCAAAATGAAGGCAGTGTGACAGCTCAGTGTTTACTGATGATGTGATAAAAATAAGAGACTTGCCCATATGAATTTTAAAACGTGCCATAAATATACAGAGAATAGACTATCTTCTCACATCCAGGTAAATTTAAAAAGGTGGATTTGAAGAAGCTTCACAGAACAGATAGCCAGTGACCCAAAACATATTGCAAAAGCAAACCTGAAGATTTTAGTGGTAAAAAAAAAGAGGAGTATCCTGCAGTAGCCAGGGTCAATCCCTTAATCTGAACCTCACCGAGGTGCATTTCACTTTCTGAAAGCTTTATTAAAGGCAGAAATACCTGTGGATGCACAAAAGCTGTAGCAAATACTTAAAAATATATAAGAAATTATGCTTTCCTATTTGGTTTCCATGTGGTGCTCCAGCTAGAGACTCCAGGGCTCATCGGCATGTCATGAGTCAACATTTAATATAATTTAAATCAATTCTTTGAGCATTCTAGTAGACAAAAATGAATATATTTTTGCTTAACACCTCAAAGTGATATAAAATGCGTCACTTTTTGAGAATTGCTTCACCGTACTGTAAACTTGTTTTGATTTTAAATGTGAACGTACTCTGGGAATAATAAAAATGTGTGAAAACATTTGCAGATGCTGATCTGTTGTCTCTGCATACACTCCTACTAATACGCAACATGGTGGGGTTCCTTAATGAACTGATAATGACTCCCAGAAACAACAGGACTGCAAAATTACTTCATTTCCAATGTAAGGAAATGTTTGATTTCAGTGATTAAAATGGAGGAAATGTTAGGTAAAAGTCTGGCACCTCGACGGCTCAAATCCTCATTTTTCCTCCATTTATCCACCCGTCGTTACCCGCTTTTTTTCTCCTGATTCAGCTCCCTTTCATCCCGTCAAGCCATCAATCACCCATCCATTTATTTCCATTTTATTCTGCACTCAGTCTGTGGTGTAAACCTACCATTCCACTTCACCTGTCTTTTACCATCTCATTAACTTTCGCATTCATCTCTCCTAATCATCTACCCATCCATCACTCCACATCTAAGCTCTGTCCTTGTACCTGGTATCTCGCGGCCGTTGTGCATCCAGCGCAGGGTGGTGGCCGGCTTGCTCCGCGGCGACACGCAGGTGAGCTCGGCCTCGCCGCCCTCCACGGCCTCCTGCTTCACCTCCACCGTCGGGGTTTCTGGAGGGACGGAAACAGATAGCGTCGCCACCTGGTGGTGCGTAGCATCCGTGTACAGCTGGCAGAAGTAGCCTCCCTCGTCGGACACGCTGACGTTGGTCAGGGTGATGCGCACCAGCCGTTGCGTGAAGAGCACCATCTGGAAACGGTCGTCCTTCAGAGCTAGAGTAAGGGGGAAATAAAAAGAGAAAACTTGCTGTTGTTGAGGTTGACACACAAAAAGGGAGTGAGGGAAGGGTGGACACAAGTAGCAAACGGTAAGAGTAAAAGCCAGACAAAAGCAGAAAATAGTTTTATTTTATTTATGAAGTGAAAAGTTGAATTTAAATAACTATATAAAAATTATTTTTGTCCAAAACTTTTAGACCATTCCTTTGTGTGTTAAGGAGCCAGACGCTGAAATATTTTAAAGTGGAGACAATCTGTAGTTATTTAATCTGTCTAAATGCCTTTCGGAGTTCCTTTTTGTTCTTGGCTCATTTCCTGTCAAGTCCTTGTGCCACTTGTGAAGTAGTTTTATTGTGTCTCACTCCAAAGTGAACAAACTCCTGTTAAAATGCAAGACTTCAGTAGACATCGAAGTAAACATTTTAAAACCCTTTCCACATCTAGCGATAATTAATTGAAGACAAATCTAGTAAAATTAAGGTGAAAAACATTTGTGGGAGGAAATATTTTGTAAAAGTAAAACGGTGGATTAATGACACTGCATAAATGTGCACACACTTAGCCTAATTTTTGAAGCATCTTTTAATTTGGTTTTGGCAATAATTTTTTGGAGTTCACGCCTGTCGTCATTTGTAGTGAATGTGATTAACCTGAATAAAGTTATCTTATTCTAGTTTGATTTTACTGACATTTACTAATTAGCATCCTTTAGCTGAAACCACAATTTGGAGACAGGTTACCAATGGTTAAAATGACATCATTGGTGAAAGGTATCAGACAGGAGAAGCATACAAAATAAGTGTGCATTATTACATACATTACGTACACACCATAGTCCAGCAAATACACCAATTTCAAACAATTTGAGAAACTACGGAACCAAGGAACATTACTAAAAGTTCACATTTTTCAGTAAGTGAGACAAGGCAGAAACTGGTAAGGAACACCAAAGGAGCTGGAGGGATTTCTGGGTCGGACCAGTCGTCTTCTACATGTGACAACATCCGTATGTTCATTTGGAAATCTTTTTTTTTTTTCCACCCAAACTCCATTCAAAAATCTCCTAAAACCTTGTGCAAGAATGTGTTGTGGTCTGATGAAACCAAATTTCACCTTTTGGTCACAATTACTAAAAGGTAAGTTTAACATAAAAACAACACATCCCCCAAAGATCACGATACTCAAATGAAACATTGTGGTGGCACCATCATCCTCTGGGGTTAGTTTTGCCTCACATGAAATTAGATTTACTGAAAAGGGAAGTGAAATTACTGAAAGTGTGAAATATAAGGCAGTTTTGATACAAAACCTTCAGGTGTCTATAAAGTTGAATGTTACGACATATTTAACTACTTAGCGTCATTGTGAGTCCTTGCACAAGGCAAAGTCAGCAAAACAATGGCTGCACCAACTTAATATCGCTACCATAATAGTGATATCAAGCTATTGCTAAAGGTCATTACGTTAATGACCTTTAATTTGACCTGTAAATTAAAGGTCATTGAAAAAATACCTAACATGGGGAAACAAAGCTAGTTGCAGTTCAGTGCGTACGGTCAAAGCTGCAGCTTTGAATGTAGTCTTGTGTTGTTGCAAGTGATTTCAAAACATATTGTTTTATTCTAGTCAAATCTTTTTTAGTGCACATCTCTGTAGATATAGATAACCTTTTACTTACACTGTCTGGTAAGTATTAACAAATTCCTAAGAGAAACAGAGGCCGCATAATTCAGTGGCATGACATTTTGAGCTTTGAAATCAGTTATTGCTTGGCCTCCAGATAGTTAGCTCTGTTTTCAGTGAACAGCTGGTTCTGTCTCATAAAGCGAGGAGTCCGAATAGAGTTTCAACATCTAATTTGTGATGTTACTCTTATGAACAGCTCAGCACATGAAATAGAGGCTGTGAGCATCCCAGATGATTGCTGCCCTGGAACTGATAGCGCCGCTAAATCCAAGGTTTCGTTTGAGGGGGGGAAAAAAAAAGAAGGAAGAAAGTTCAGAGCAAGTTTGCAAAGTGAGTCTCCAGAGCCGCTCGAGTATGTGGATTGATACAACTCGGCCTGTATATTGGCTCCCTCATTTCCTGCTCATTTTCTCCTGAGTACTGACTGGACTGTCGTGAAGTATAACGGAGGCGTTTTTGTCTTGTTAGTTTGTTCTTTCTAATTTAAGAGAAGATTGTTTTAGGATTTTAATTATTGTCGTTTCCGCTGCCTCATCTTGGCGCAATGCAAATAATGCTCCACGTTCAATGAGACAAACCTTTAGAACGGCCGGCTTCTGACGGGAGCTGAATACTCCAAGTCGTAAATTGACATCAGCTTTCAAAACGCAGCAATTGCAGTCCACCTTGAACCTCAAATCAGTGAGCTACAAAACATCACAGCGCATGAGGAAGAAAGATGGAGGACATTAAAAGCTTGAAAGTGAAAAGGTGAGCTTGTAGCAGTTTTTCTTTTGAAAGGAAAGGAATTGAGTTAATGGGAGGAAAAATCCTGGTAATACCCAATAATTCAATAGCTGTCTGTGGATGACAGTAACTCGGTGACCACAGATTCACATAAATGCCTCTAGGGCTCAGTTTGTATTAAGCTGACCGTGAAACCGCTCTCATTTTGTGTTTGGTTCTGTCCCCGTTTTGTTTCTTTTGTGTTTGGCTCAGCGAGATAAAAAATCCCAACACCGCCCTTATGTAGCAGCCGGCCACCTCAAAGCACAATACGCAATATCAGGGAGAGAGAGCCAGAGATATTTTTTTTTTTGTGGATAAGTGCATCTTTGTTTGTTTTCTAGAGGGAGTGAAGGGGAGAGGAAAGCAAATTGAAAGAAATAAACTAATATAAGTACATTCTGTAACAGGGGTAGCAAAATATTATACGGTACAACACTGAATTCAACAGCCAGGCGTGGAGGCATGAAGTTAGTCCACTCCTCCAGATCCTATGCCACAATAATCTCTCCACCCCATCCAAATCTTTTTCTCTCTCGCCTGAATAGCGGTGTGAGGATTGTTAGAGCTATTCCCCACAGACAGGTAAGTCTTTTTCCTCCTCTCTGCACAAAATGGCAACTAAATGTCAGACTGCTGTTCTAGTCCAAGTTCACCTTTATTGTCCTGTCTCATTTGCATGCTGATGAGGGCTGGCAAAAGGAGAAGAAATAGAGACATGGACCACTGAGGAGGAAAAAGGCTCCATTTGGTTAGTTACCCTCTTTGCTGAAGCTGACCATCCCCACATTGTCATAAAACACAACTGCGACTGGTGGCTTGCTTGCACAACATGTCGCACAATTTTCTTCGCTAACTGCAGTGGCTTTATTTCGAGAGTTTATAGCTAATAGGAATGAATGGAGAAAGACCCTGGTTTATGATCTGGTTGGCAGATGGATAATAGCCACGGATGTATGGAAGTGGAAAGTCAACAAGGTGTAATTTATGTTTTCGGAAACTCTCCCGTGATGGGACTTTCTGTTTGCTTCCAGAGGTGTACTGCAAAAATATTCATACTTAACTTCTCCTGCTTTTGTCAAGTTTTAGCCACAAACTTTAGTCATTTACAGGGGTTTTATGGGGCAGACCACAAACTTGTAACGAAGTGTGAGCCTGCGATATCATGTTAGTGTAAATCTATCTGTTCTGTGAAGGCCTGAAAGGTTCGTTAGAGAACATCAGTGACTTATCGGCATCAGGAGGAGCAAGGAACACATGAAGGCATAACGCTATGAAGAAGTCTGGGTTAGAAAAAAAATATCCCAAGATTTGAATTTCTCACAGAGTGCCGTTTCATGCAGCACCGTGGGAAATGACACAACTGCAAACCTACTAAGACACGACTGTCCAACTAACAGGAGGCCCATGCTAACTCTGGGGAAGCTGCATATATTCACAGTTCCAGTAACACAAGAGACCAAAATGCTACTTTTTTGACCTACATGCGAAGCACTGTGTGGCAGAAAACTAACACCCAAAAGACAGCAACAAAGAAACCCAACTTCATTAAATTGTCATTTGGCAATGCTTTATTTTACCAAGGAAAAGGAAAATGTTCAGAGTTGATGGGGAGGTGGATCGAGCTAAACACAGGGTGAGCCTGTGACAAAATCTGTTAAAGGTTACAACAGATTTGAGACTGAGCCAAAGGTTCACCTTCCAGCACAAGAACACTAAACGTATAGCCAGAGCTACAGCTTGGATCGAGGGATTTCTATAGGTGTGGATGCCCCAGTCAAATCCAGACCCAAATGCAACTAAAAACGTTTCAGATCAACTGGAAACAATTGTTCACAAATGATTTCCATCCAGTCTGACTGGGGTGGAGTTATTTTGCAAAGAAAAAAAAAAAAAAAGAAGAAGAAAAATCTGAGTCTATATGTACAAAGCTGGTAGAAATATATCCCCAAAAGAGTTGAACTGCAGCGAGAATTGATTCTACAAAGCATCGACTCAGAGGCACTGTGAAAAGAATCTAAAAAAAGTACACTTTTTAGATCTACATAATCCAAAAAAAGTTGTAAATCATGAATCTTTCTTTTTCTACTTCAAACTTATCTGTTACTTTGTGTAGGCCTATCAAATAAAATCCCATTGAAACAGACTGAGGTTGTGTGAAAAAGTTCAATGGGTATGGGTACCTATTCAAAGCACTGTGGCAATATAAATGTTACATATTCTCTAAAAATTGCATCACCTCCTTAAGCAGTGTATTTTTCCCCATTTCCCTTTTTGCCTCATCCTCCTTTCCTTCTCCAGTATATTCTCTCTCATTTTCTCTTTCATTCCCAGCTTTACACCCCTTCTTTCTCTTTCTCCGTGTTCTTATTAGTCTCCGCCGTGCTTTCTTGAAGGGTGCAAGTCAACATCTCATGCGAGAGCAGACAAGGCAGCTCAGCTTAAATATTTAATGGAAATTACAGTTGTGCTGATCTGATAGAACAAGAGTCAGGGCTGAAAGTTAGATTCTCTGCCCAAAAGCACCGACTTCAACTCTCCAA